GTAGAGGGGACAAAACGCAGCTTTGGCAGAGACCGGTGTTAACGCTTGAACGCTTCGACTTAGCGCCATTTACTCTGACGCAGCACCTGCTATCAGAATACAGTGATTGGATGGCCCGTAGAAACTCGCCATCTGTCCCCCATTTTCGCAGGTATGACGACAGACTTTTGCGTTGGATCCGGTCATAGGCTTTTTCTGGGTCAACAAGGCACATGCACAGCTAATGGGCGACCTGCCATAATTTCTCAGCAATCTGGCGCCGGGCAAATCTATGGTGAGAGGTTCTTCGATTTGTCCGAAAGCCACACTGCTCTTCTTGTATCTTGGAGCCAGTTATTCCGCAGCACCTAATTTCTAGCACCTTTGCGTAGATTTTACCTGATAGACTCAATAAGGTAATGTCCAGAAAATTGGACCACTTCCTCTGGTCTCCCGTATTGAAGTGGTTTTCAACAACCATCGTTTTCCACTTCGCCGATGTCCTCCTCGTAGCTATTGCAGTTTCAGAGACACGTTTAAGCCAGCACTTTCCTAATGCCTTGAGAGTTTCAGGCTGATTTCATCAATTCCAGCAGGCTTTCCATTTTGTTAATTTTTTACAGCTTGTGTAATTTCATTTACGGAGATAGTAATATCCCTTCCCTGCTGTTTTACAGGCGAGTCTTCCTGTGGTTGCTCGGCGTTAAGGAGTTCCGCAAAGTACTCTGTCCATCTCAGAAGAATGTGATCATCTTTGATAATAGGGTGTCCAGACCTGTTCTTCAAGACTCTTAACGTGCCCTTCTTTTCACTTCAGAGCCGGCAGATGGTCTGCCAAAATTCCTGTTTCCCGTGTGGAAATTCGACCTCAAGGCCTCACAAGACTCCCAGGAATCAGATTTTGCTTTCGTCACTGCTTTTCCTGCCGCCTTGTGCGTTTCGAGATATGGCTCCTGAGTAGAAGGTTCTTTCTTTCCAAGCCATTTCTTTAATGGAGCCTTCTTTTTATTTGCCAGTTCTACCTCTCGTGCCCACCAGCCAGTTCTTTTCTGACATCCAGACTGGCCAACCCGTTTCAATACGAAACATTCGGCGGCATCCTCGAGCATGGTTCTCTTAAAGTCCTGCCACTCTGTTTCCACATCAGTGGTCGTCACCGGGATCTGTTCAAACCGTCGTGCGACGTTGTTTGCAAATTTCGCTCTCGTATCCACCAGAGACAATGTTTCCCATTTGATTCTCCGGTTGCTTCTGC